TCATGTCGGACAATCAATCAACGCCGTTGGTAGATCATGTCGGATAACCAATCAAATCCGTCGCTAGATCATCTGACGCTGTATAATGGCGGATAACCGATCAATTATGTTGCTAGATCATGTCGGATAATCAATCAAAGCCGTTGGTAGATCCTGTTGGATAACCAATCAAAAGCCTGGATATGTCATGTCGGATAATCAATCAAAGGCCATGGTAGATCCTGTTGGATAACCAATCAAAAGCGTGGATAGGTCATGTCGGATAATCAATCAAAGGCCTTGGTAGATCCTGTTGGATAACCAATCAAAAGCGTGGATAGGTCATGTCGGATAACCAATCAAAAGCGTGGATAGGTCTTGTCGGATAACCAATCAAACCAATCAAACCCGTAGGTAGACCACGCGTTCGCTGTTAGCATGGTTTCGATAGCGATTTCATAGTTTATATAACTTGCGACATCTTCCGGTTTTAATTTTATTATAGATACATCGTTACAGGAGTGTAGACAAACACTTGTGTTGTGGTCCCGCTAAACAATATCAGCTATAAACAATATCAGCTATAAACAATGTGAAATATTTAAGTTTAAGATCATATTAAAAAGGCCCCTTGGGTATGCCGTGATATTCCGCCAAAGTTACCGGTACACTATTGTTTACCATTGCCATAGTGATTTTGAAAGCCAGTACCAATAAATGTACTTAATTAATTAAAGTCGGAAGTGCATTTAAGAGTAGACATCCGCATGTTTAATGATAAAACCATTTGTCTTAAACCTTCCTGTGTTCTATTAAATAACGGAAAACAATACGAACCCATTCGACCACTTGTTAATGAACATTGAAAGCAATACTTGAACTTTGAAACGTAAAGCTTTCTCAAGAGGTCACAACACTAGTTTGGCGGAGGAGGAAGTTTATTTGACCCAAGGACGAGATGAAGCGGGCGGAGGAAAGAATTTCGACCCCAGAACGAGTTTCTCTCCCAGTACGAGGTGATGTGGGGCGGGGAGATTTCTATCCCATTACGAGGTGATGAGGGGAAGGGAGGTTTCTATCCCAGTACGAGGTGATGTGGGGCGGGGAGATTTCTATCCCATTGCGAGGTGATGTGGGGAGGGAGATGTCTATCCCATTACGAGGTGATGTGGGGCCAGTAGAGATTTCTATCCCAGTACGAGATGATGTGGGGAGGGGAGATTTCTATCCCATTACGAGGTGATGAGGGGAAGGGAGGTTTCTATCCCAGTACGAGGTGATGTGGGGCGGGGAGATTTCTATCCCATTACGAGGTGATGTGGGGAGGGAGATGTCTATCCCATTACGAGGTGATGTGGGGCCAGTAGAGATTTCTATCCCAGTACGAGATGATGTGGGGAGGGGAGATTTCTATCCCATTACGAGGTGATGAGGGGAAGGGAGGTTTCTATCCCAGTACGAGGTGATGTGGGGAGGGGAGATTTCTATCCCATTACAAGGTGATGTGGGGAGGGGAGATTTCTATCCCATTACGAGGTGATGTGGGGAGGGGAGATTTCTATCCCATTACGAGGTGATGTGGGGAGGGGAGATTTCTATCCCATTACGAGGTGATGTGGGGAGGGGAGATTTCTATCCCATTACGAGGTGATGTGGGGAGGGGAGATTTCTATCCCATTACGAGGTGATGAGGGGAAGGGAGGTTTCTATCCCATTACGAGGTGATGTGGGGAGGGGAGATTTCTATCCCATTACAAGGTGATGTGGGAAGGGGAGATTTCTATCCCATTACGAGGTGATATGGGGCGGCGAGATTTCTATCCCATTACGAGGTGATGTGGGAAGGGAGATGTCTATCCCATTACGAGGTGATGTGGGGAGGGGGATTTCCATCCCATTACAAGGTGATATGTGGCGGGTAGAGATTTCTATCCCAGTACGAGATGATGTGGGGAGGGGAGATTTCTATCCCATTACGAGGTGATGAGGGGAAGGGAGGTTTCTATCCCAGTACGAGGTGATGTGGGGAGGGGAGATTTCTATCCCATTACAAGGTGATGTGGGAAGGGGAGATTTCTATCCCATTACGAGGTGATATGGGGCGGCGAGATTTCTATCCCATTACGAGGTGATGTGGGAAGGGAGATGTCTATCCCATTACGAGGTGATGTGGGGAGGGGGATTTCCATCCCATTACAAGGTGATATGTGGCGGGTAGAGATTTCTATCCCAGTACGAGATGATGTGGGGAGGGGAGATTTCTATCCCATTACGAGGTGATGAGGGGAAGGGAGGTTTCTATCCCAGTACGAGGTGATGTGGGGAGGGGAGATTTCTATCCCATTACAAGGTGATGTGGGAAGGGGAGATTTCTATCCCATTACGAGGTGATATGGGGCGGCGAGATTTCTATCCCATTACGAGGTGATGTGGGAAGGGAGATGTCTATCCCATTACGAGGTGATGTGGGGAGGGGGATTTCCATCCCATTACAAGGTGATATGTGGCGGGTAGAGATTTCTATCCCAGTACGAGATGATGTGGGGAGGGGAGATTTCTATCCCATTACGAGGTGATGAGGGGAAGGGAGGTTTCTATCCCAGTACGAGGTGATGTGGGGAGGGGAGATTTCTATCCCATTACAAGGTGATGTGGGAAGGGGAGATTTCTATCCCATTACGAGGTGATATGGGGCGGCGAGATTTCTATCCCATTACGAGGTGATGTGGGAAGGGAGATGTCTATCCCATTACGAGGTGATGTGGGGAGGGGGATTTCCATCCCATTACAAGGTGATATGTGGCGGGTAGAGATTTCTATCCCAGTACGAGATGATGTGGGGAGGGGAGATTTCTATCCCATTACGAGGTGATGAGGGGAAGGGAGGTTTCTATCCCAGTACGAGGTGATGTGGGGAGGGGAGATTTCTATCCCATTACAAGGTGATGTGGGAAGGGGAGATTTCTATCCCATTACGAGGTGATATGGGGCGGCGAGATTTCTATCCCATTACGAGGTGATGTGGGAAGGGAGATGTCTATCCCATTACGAGGTGATGTGGGGAGGGGGATTTCCATCCCATTACAAGGTGATATGTGGCGGGTAGAGATTTCTATCCCAGTACGAGATGATGTGGGGAGGGGAGATTTCTATCCCATTACGAGGTGATATGGGGAGGAGAGATTTCTATCCCAGTACGAGTTGATGTGGGGAGGGAGATTTCTATCCCATTACGAGGTGATGTGGGGAGAAGAGATTTCTATCTCAGTACGAGGTGATGAGGGGAGAGGAGATAATTGCTAGCCAACGAGGTAAGGTGGAGAGGTGAGAGAATTTCAATCCTAGTGCGAGGTGAGGTGGGGAGGGGAGCGAATTTCAATCCTAGTACGAGGTAAGGTGGGGAGGGGAGATAGTTTTCCTCCCAGTATGAGGTGATATTGGGAGAAGAGATAATTTCTCTCCCTGTACGTGGTGAAGTTGGGAGGTGGGAGATATTTTCTTATGATCTCAGTACGAGGTGAATACATTATTAAGGTGAGGAGGATTTCAATCACTGTACGGTAATAAGGTGGGGAGAGGATTTCGGCCCCAGTACGGCAATAAGGTGGGGATAAGATTTCGGCCCCGGTACGGTATTGCGTTGAGGAGAGAATTTAGGCCCCGGTACGGTATTAAAATAAGGAGAGAATTTCTGCCTCTGTATGGTATTAAGGTGAGGAGAGGTTTTAGGTCCCGGTACGGTATTAAGGTGAGGAGATGATTTCGGCCCCGGTACGGTATTAAGGTGAGGAGAGGATTTAGGTCCCGGTACGGTATTAAGGTGAGGAGAGGATTTAAGCCCCGGTACGGTATTAAGGTGAGGAGATGATTTAGGCCCCGGTACGGTATTAAGGTGAGGAGAGGATTTCGGCCCCGGTACAGTATTAAGGTGAGGAGAGGTTTTAGGTCCCGGTTCGGTATTAAGGTGAGGAGATGATTTAGGCCCCGGTACGTTATTAAGGTGAGGAGAGGATTTAGGTCCCTGTACGGTATTAAGATAAGGAGAGGAGTTCAGCCCCGGTACGGTATTAGTGAGGAGAGGATTTCGGCCCTTGTACGGTATTAAGGTAAGGAGAGGATTTTGGCCCTGGTACGGTATTAAGGTGAGTAGATGATTTAGGCCCCGGTACAGTATTAAGGTGAGGAGAGGTTTTAGGTCCCGGTACGGTATTAAGGTGAGTAGATGATTTAGGCCCCGGTACAGTATTAAGGTGAGGAGAGGATTTAAGCCCCGGTACGGTATTAGTGAGGAGAGGATTTCGGCTCCGGTACGGTATTAAGGTGAGTAGATGATTTAGGCCCCGGTACAGTATTAAGGTAAGGAGAGGATTTTGGCCCTGGTACGGTATTAAGATGAGGAGAGGATTTCGGCCCCAGTACGGCAATAAGGTGAGAAAAGGATTTCGGCCCCGGTACGATATTAAGGTAAGGAGATGATTTAGGCCCCGGTACAGTATTAAGGTGAGGAGAGGTTTTAGGTCCCGGTACGGTATTAAGATCATGAGATGATTTCGGCCCCGGTACAGTATTAAGGTGAGGAGATGATTTAGGCCCCTGTACGGTTTTAAGGTGAGGAGAGGGTTTCGGCCCCGGTACGGTAGTAAGGGGAGGAGAGGATTTCGGCCCTTGTACGGTATTAAGGTAAGGAGAGGATTTTGGCCCTGGTACGGTATTAAGGTAAGGAGAGGATTTTGGCCCCGGTACGGGATTAAGGGGAGGAGAGGATTTCGGCCCTTGTACGGTATTAAGGTAAGGAGAGGATTTAGGTCCCGGTACGGTATTAAGATGAGGAGGTGATTTCGGCCCCGGTACAGTATTAAGGTAAGGAGAGGATTTAGGTCCCGGTACGGTATTAAGATAATGAGATGATTTCGGCCCCGGTACGGTAATAAGGTGAGGAGAGGGTTTCGGCCCCGGTACGGTATTAAGGTGAGGAGAGGATTTCGGCTCCGGTACGGTATTAAGGTAAGGAGATGATTTCGGCCCCGGTATGTAGTCTGCCATCGTTGTTCCCGTCTCGCCTGTCAGACCCGTCACGGCCTTGGTGACAAATAGACAAACAGCTCACCTCGGCTCCGACTTCAGTAGCCATACATCTTTATGTAACTGCAGAAGACCGGTCACCTGGTCCATACCTGTATAACTCTGGAATACGCATACCTGTACGATTGGAATAGTGTACCATCAACATTTTACCACAGGAACGACAATCTGGGAACTACTAGTACAGCTATATGCAATTCTAACGAAGTTGGATTAGTTTTTATGTTTTAATTCAATACGTGATTGTCTTAAGAGTTACATCTCACAGGTGTGCTGTGTCGCGCGCTCAGGTATCTACAATTTGGGCGAGGTAACATGTTTTGGTGAGGACACGGATATTGTACCGGGGACACTATAGGATGAAGGCCTCTAGCCTGCTCATTCTCTTCTGGATCTCACTAACAAAAGGTAAGTGTAACCGGTATATCTGATCCTGACTTTAGCCTCACACAATCCGGACTAACCAGGTTTCACTGTTCACCGAGAGTTGAAACAGTATAGGATCAAATTCATTCCCCAGTTTCGACACTAAAATATTTAGTTGTGCGTATGTAAATCTATATGAGTATAAAGTAGAGCTTTGTAGAGTCAGCTCCGAAGTACATGTACAACAGGGGATCCAGTGACTGACCTGGGCGTGTTAGCTGTGGAGTGTTAAAATAAATAAAAGGTTTAAATAATTATCTATACTATGAAATACTTTTTATTTTAATTTGGCGGGGAGGGGGATACCCAATAACGTTATCACATAAGTCCGGCTAGTGCCTCGGCTGGTAGGTGTCAATTGATGTCCTGTTAAGTGTCAGTACAACCTAAAAGGGCTTCATCAGTAATAGTTATAATGTCGTAATTACTCTTAGAGGCCTTCTACGACCAGTCAAACGTGTGAACCACATGAGAGAAAATTACCTCGACATTTAAGAAACTAAATTGTATAAGTCCGGATTAGAGAGGTTCCACTATCTAATAGTGATGGAACCTTGACATGTAATCCACAAATCATGGTTTACGATCTATGATTGGTGATTGAATTTGTATTAATAGCTGACGTCGTTGTTTAACCCATGCTTTAATCCTTTAGCTGTAGTCTTAGGGTAACGTCATACGTTAACTGTAGTCTTAGAGTGACGTCATCCTTGAACAAAAGTCTTAATGGGACGTCATCCTTTAACAAATCTAAGGACGACATACCCCTTTTATCAGTCTTAGGATGACGTCATCCTTTAACAAGTCTTAGGGTGACGTCATCCTTTAACAGTAGTCTTCAGGCGATATCATCCTTTAATTTTAGGATTAGGGTGACGTCATCCTTTAACTGTAGTACAATGGTGACGTCATCATTTAACAAGTCTTAAAGCGACGTCGTCCTTTATCAGTAGTCTTAGACTGACGTCATCCTTTAACAAAAGTCTTAATGCGACATCATCCTTTGACAAAAGTGTTAGGGCGACGTCATCCTTTCCTAGTAGTCTTAAGGCCACGTGATCCTTTAAATGTAATCTTAAAAAGGTGATGTCATCCTTTAACTGTAGTCCCAGGAAGACGTCTGCCTTTGTCTGTAGTCTTAAGTGACGTTATCTTTTAATGATCTTTGTATCTCTTTATAGTGTCATTTAAATGTTTTTCTAATTCAGATTTTACATTTTGATTTACCACAGTGTGCATTTAAAAAAAATGAAATTTTCGACATTGTTTTCAATGCAAATTGTCATCTACAAGTGATCAGCTCGCGACCTCGTACTTCGTGTTAACGAGGATGTAAATATCGTGTTGTCTCCTGTTATATAACATATCCTTCTTACATATAGAATACTGTTGTGGCCAGCAATATGCTGTTTTCCATGTGTATCGTTCAACATTTCGTCATGAATATCTACATTTATATATACTGGATATTAGATATGTGTTCCTCGTAAGCTTACCTGTGTTAGAACATATTTCAGGGAGTGTTCCTAAGGTTGAATACTGGCTTATAGTGACTTGCATAGATTTTCCAAAGACTTCCAGTTCTGAAGCGGAAAGCTGTATACTATTCTTTTGATTGGTAATTTTGATGATTGGTTAATAAATAAAACACACACCTGAAAGGTATACACAGGTAACTCTCCGGTAATTATGATATATAGTGTTAATTGAATATTTCAGAAGATATTGTTTAATGTGTAGTGTACATGTCAGTAATCCTGTTCATGAGTCGACCATACACAGCACATCTCAGCCTCCGATACAGACGACGCAACTTTCTGTTTTATATCGCAGGGACCTGATTCATTAATAAAATGGTCGTAAGTTTAGAATATAGATCTATTATACACAGGGGCCGGACAAAATTACCAATATTACCTTGGACAATTTAATTAGATAATCACGTCCCAATATTGACATCACAAAATGCTTTTGTTCGTTAAAAACATGGCAAAACAACGAATTGGCCCAGTCCCTGTAAAGCAAGGTAACAAGCTATACCTAGCTACGGTCATTATATCAAAGTCGGACCCCGCGACATTCTGGGAGAAATAACGTTTTGTTACAGTGTGGTGGATAGTTACACGAACAAATTATATCTCCCTTGTGGCGACAGGGAGAGTGCCAGGGGAGACAACTGGGAGGGAAAGTCGGAACCTTACATAACGAGCCCACCGTATATCACCGATACACAACTCGTCAGCGTCTTGTTCGTCCAAAGATTTTATGTTGTAAATAGTTGCTGTACCCAAACAGAATCCCTGTTTTTATCGTTGTCTGATAGTTAAACAGTCACATATACAAACCTCCCGTGCTTGTAGTAAGTCTAAATGTCACGATGTAGCAGTAGGCCTACTTGCCGTGTAAGTGGTATTCATCATGGCCGATATCTTTTTCTGATATTTGCATCTAACGATTTATTTCTGGGGATAACAAAAGTGAATTAAAAAGTGGAGTGTATTTATCAACAATGACGTGTATTTTTCAACAATGACAGATATTTATTAACAATGACAGATATTTATCAACAATGACGTGTATTTATCGACACTAACGTGTAATTATCAACAATGACAGATATTTATCAACAATGACATGTATTTATCAACAATGATGTGTATTTATCATCAATGACAGATATTTATCAACACTGACGTGTATTTATCAACAATGACGTGTATTTATCAACACTGACATGTATCACTGACATGTATTTATCAACACTAACGTGTATTTATCAACAATGACAGATATCTATCAACAATGACGCGTATTTATCAACTATGACAGATATTTATCAACAATGACGTGTATTTATCGACACTAACGTGTAATTATCAACAATGACAGATATTTATCAACAATGACATGTATTTATCAACAATGACGTGTATTTATCAACACTGACATGTATCACTGACATGCATTTATCAACACTAACGTGTATTTATCAACAATGACAGATATCTATCAACAATGACGCGTATTTATCAACAATGAAAGATATTTATCAACACTGACGTGTATTTATCAACAATGACGTGTATTTATCAACACTGACATGTATCACTGACATGCATTTATCAACACTAACGTGTATTTATCAACAATGACAGATATCTATCAACAATGACGCGTATTTATCAACTATGACAGATATTTATCAACAATGACGTGTATTTATCGACACTAACGTGTAATTATCAACAATGACAGATATTTATCAACAATGACGTGGATTTATCAACAATGACATGTATTTATCAACAATGACGTGTATTTATCAACACTGACATGTATCACTGACATGCATTTATCAACACTAACGTGTATTTATCAACAATGACAGATATCTATCAACAATGACGCGTATTTATCAACAATGAAAGATATTTATCAACAATGACGTGTATTTATCAACACTGACATGTATCACTGACATGTATTTATCAACACTAACGTGTATTTATCAACAATGACAGATATCTATCAACAATGACGCGTATTTATCAACAATGACAGATATTTATCAACAATGACGTGTATTTATCATCAATGACAGATATTTATCAATAATGACATGTATTTATCAACACTGACGTGTATTTATATAATTATCAACAATGACATGCATGTATTTATCAACAATGACAGATATTTATCAACAATGACGCGTATTTATCATCAATGACAGATATTTATCAACAATGACGTGTATTTATCAACAATGACATGTATTTATCAACAATGACGTGTATTTATCAACACTGACATGTATCACTGACATGTATTTATCAACACTAACATGTATTTATCAACAATGACGCGTATTTATCAACAATGACAGCTATTTATCAACAATGACAGGTATTTATCAACAATGACGCGTATTTATCATCAATGACAGATATTTATCAACACTGACAGATATTTATCAACAATGACAGATATTTATCAACACTTACATATATTTATCAACAATGACGCGTATTTATCATCAATGACAGATATTTATCAACAATGACAGATATTTATCAACAATGACCCGTATTTATCATCAATGACAGATATTTATCAACAATGACGTGTATTTATCAACAATGACATGTATTTATCAACAATGACGTGTATTTATCAACACTGACATGTATCACTGACATGTATTTATCAACACTAACATGTATTTATCAACAATGACGCGTATTTATCAACAATGACAGCTATTTATCAACAATGACAGGTATTTATCAACAATGACGCGTATTTATCATCAATGACAGATATTTATCAACACTGACAGATATTTATCAACAATGACGCGTATTTATCATCAATGACAGATATTTATCAACAATGACGTGTTTTTATCAACAATGACATGTATTTATCAACAATGACTTGTATTTATCAACACTGACATGTATCACTGACATGTATTTATCAACACTAACATGTATTTATCAACGATGACAGATATTTATCAACAATGACAGATATTTATCAACAATGACATGTATTTATCAACACTGACATGTATTTATCAACGATGACGTGTATTTATCAACAATGACATGTATTTATCAACAATGACAGATATTTATCACCAATGACAGATATTTATCAACAATGACGTGTATTTATCAACACTAACGTGTATTTATCAACAATGACAGATATTTATCAACAATGACAGATATTTATCAACACTGACGTGTATTTATCAACAATGACAGATATTTATCAACACTGACGTGTATTTATCAACGATGACAGATATTTATCAACAATGACGCGAATTTATCAACAATGACAGATATTTATCAACAATGACGCGAATTTATCATTAATGACAGATATTTATCAACAATGACGTGTATTTATCAACACTGACATGTATTTATCAACGATGACATGTATTTATCAACACTGACATGTATTTATCA